TAGATACATTCCTTGTATCTGTCAAAGTTAGAGAATAACTCTGTTTTGAACTCAGCGAACCTAGGATGAACGATATCGAATAAATTAGTTACTAATGCATATTTACCTTTCAGAACCGTATCGTTTAGGATGATGCCTTAACTTTGACAGCGATGATGCCTTAACTTTGACAGCCATGCGAAATGATAAGATCACAATGTTACCTAACCTTAATAACCTCAGCTAGCAAAACGCCTTCAAAAAGTGAGTGTTACCTCAAGCTTTCTGCGTCTCATCAGATTTCTAAATAGCTGATTGAAAACTCAACACAAAATCGCATGCTTATGAAAGCTCAGATTGCTTCTATCATTTCTGCATGACTTCTCAAAGGTCTCACCTTCTCAACATGACTGACGAGATCGTTTGTCTCTTCATCGGTTAGATTCAAAGTCTTCAAAAGTCTATACACATCCGGCTTGGGCGTCTTCGCTGAAGTCGCTTCAATTAGCTAAAGAACATGTATGAGAGGAGAAGAAAGATGACTTTTGAATAAATGCTTTCTACCTGCTGCGTTGTCGTTGTGACCACATTATCTTCGCCGATCTCTTCGATCAACTCCGTGAGTGCAGGTGACTCTGTAGTTTCAGACACCTTTTTTCGTGAAGAGGCTGTTAGATCAATAACCTAAATAAGTCATTCAACCGTCACTCAATAGACAATCTGCTTTTTTTAAAGCTGACCTTTTTCATACGCTCATCGGGCTCGGATACTCCAATAGGAATTGGTTCCGGTTCTATTAGCTCTTCTTTGCCAAGCTCTGGAGTGGTGGGATTGACTGGCGACGCAGTTGTAGTTGAACTAGAGGTGGCCTGCAAAAAAAGAGCTTTACCAGTTTCGCATATCATTAGAGGTCTCTTCTACCTGTGGAGGTATTAGTACACTTGGTACGGCATCAAACTTCACAGGACGATTGAGAACGTCATAGATACCTAGTCGATTAAGGCCTGGCAATAAGTTATGCTGAGATACATCCTTCTCAAACACATAAGACAGATAGAAAAAGACATTTTATTAAGCAATATACCAAATAATATGCTAAGGTTCAAAAGGATACTGCTTCGCATTTCTTCTCCACTTTCAAACCTTTTCGTAAAGCATGCATTCTTTTTTTTGGTAAAA